ACGTTTTCCATAAACTATTTAGAGATTGGCATAAATATATTGAGAGGTAATACAACAGTTGCCTCCTGATACAAGCAGTACAAACTGTGAGTGTGCAAAACCCACATTCAAGGGACTGATTTGATTTTAGTAACTAGTGTGAGTATTCCAAAGATTGGCAGCATAGTTGCAGACTCGACAAAATAACTGGGAAATTGCTCATTCAGCAATTCTGTTTTTACTCATTCCCAAACAAATGCAGACACACACTCTTTTGCACGTACAGTACAAGGGGCCTAAAATGCCCTGCAATCTATATTGCCCTGGTCTTTATGTTTGAAACGCAGTATACACAAAAGTATTCATGGAGGAAAAAATAACCACATTAAGTGCAATTGTAAAGGTATTTCTGGTATTAAAGTCTCATGTATTACAGCTGGCGTTGCCATGTGATTCATGCTCATAGTCAAATAATTTTAGGTAGGTTGATCCTGTTAAAACTCCCCCCCAAAAAACACAAAAACTTTGTGTTTTGTGTTTTGTCTTTAATTAAAAACTTAATATATTTTTTTAAAAAAAAAAAACCCTCCCCCCCCTTTTATTTAATCTCAATGGTATACAGCAGGGCTGTCAAACTCGTGGCCCATGGGCCAGATGCCTCACGCACTGGCTACACCCACGCCCAGTTTAACGAAGGGGGGGAAAGACCTGATATGCCACATGACACCACCATGATGACGCACATTTGACACCCCTGGTATACAGCAATTAACAACTAACAATTGGTTTTTTTTTTACTGTCATCATAGTCATATTTGCTTGTAGCCCAGTCAGAAATTGTTTATTCCTTCATGAGCTTCCTCTCCAAGAACATTTGAGTAAACCAAATTTTAAATTCAATGACTTCATTTAAAAAAAAAATCATCTGAAATTTGATTGGTTTGAAAACTGTTTGTAAAGGAGACCTATTTTGGGTAAACAATTCTAGAAATATATAATCTTAGTCTTATTTAGAAGAGACTTGTTGAATCAGCTAACCTTAAATTAGTTATAGCTATTCAAAACATGGCAAAGACATGATCCTTCCCCTTATAATTAATCTTGCTCCACTGGAAGAAGCTTTAAGGTCCAGAAAAACATTGGGAATATTAAACCTCAAAAGAACTGGAGATGCTTCAGATAAGCATCCACTCTTTTTAGGGCTTATCAAAAGAGAGTCACACCTCCAAATCTTTTGAGAGCGACCGATCAGGATTTAACAGATAGAAATGCTTACTGTTGTCATCAAACCATGCACTTCCCAGTTAAAGCTGGAGAGAAAAAGTCTCAGAGTAAGTGCTTGGGGGACTAGAACTCTACACTACTACTTTTTCCTTTTACTAGCTGTGTAGTCCTGTGTTTAGTAGTAGTCTGTGTTTAGGACATTATCTTTTACCCAGTAGCAGTGGAAGAGCATTGTGTGGCTAAATTTTTTTAAAGGATTGTTTTCACCACCACATTGTTAAGGCAGAGGCTGTGGGACTTGTATTAAAACCCCATTTAGGCACATTTTCTGATTTTCCATTGATACACATTAAACTACTGTACTTTCACAGATAGGAGTACAGAACTAAACAACCAACAATATTGGGTCATGAAAAATCTAGCAAAATATTGTGGTTTGGTTTGTGGAAATTTATACCACGATTTTTTCCCCTTGACTGTCAGGGTTTTTACTGCAACAGAGTAATGAGGATGGCGCTCTTAAAAACACATGGATGAAAAAAAATTCCCTAGGTTTTTTTTAACACTGGAAGAGGCTAGTTCAGATTTTGCCTTTCTCATGATCTGAATCTTGAAGTCTTGCCTAGGCAACAACAGCCATGCTTGTCTCATCTCCCAGGTGGAGCTCAGCTGAACCTCTGATGAAAGCATAGCTGTGTAATATCTGGGGTGACTTCTCATATCAAGGAGATGGTACAGACTAAAATGAAGCTTTATTCAAGAGTAGGAGAGAAGGTTTTTGGGGGAGAGGGCAAGTTGCCTACTTCCTATTCAATCCTTCCATGTCTGGGGAAAGCTGAAAGGCAGAGAGTGGTATTCTATGTGGATGGATAATTGGTGGACTCTCTAGTTCTGCTAGAACAGAAGCAGTAGTAAAGCTCGTATTAAGAAAAGACTCCATCTCCTGTTCTGTTTGGGGGTGGGAATGATTACTAGGAGGACTTTCCCTTTCTTAAAGAAAAAAGGGGCGTCAAGAGTATTATCTTTCCTCCCATTTGTACTTCTGAATTAATTCAGTAAATCTGTCTCTCTGTTTTTTGCTTTCTCATCCCTACAAGTTGGCACAACTCCTTTCTTCAATTTATCCCTGCAGGAGAGTTATTTTACACTAGCCCCAGTTTGTTTGGGTTTACAGAATAGTAAACTTAGTAGGAGGAGATTCAACACCCTTATTTACTGTGTGGACAATGAGTATATGCACTACTTATCACATGGATGTCATGTTTTCTCTCTCACTTTATCTGTATACATAGATAACATCAAATTCCTAATGTTTTCCTTTCTCTCTTTCAAAAAAAAAAGAGGAATCCAATAAGTCAGGTTCATTCTTGCTTGATGTTCTACCATCTATTTCACTAAATGCATATCCTTGCTACTCTACTGTGTTTTGGAGATTCCCAGATAAGTGATTGGCCAATTAGCCTTAAATATAGTGATGGATCTCTTGTCATCATTTGATGTGACTAACTGGTCGCAGATGAATCACCATAAAATAATGACATTGCCTAAAAGCAGCTTCTGAAATGTGTGGGACAGAAGAATGGTGACATCATGTCAACACTTCCAATAGTCATTATTTGACCGATTAGCATAAGAATAGATACTTTCCCGACATATGGAGCATTCAGGAATTGTAAAGTAGAATGGAATGCAGAGGAGGCATAGGTTTTTTTTTTTTCTATTTATGATATTCGCTTCACCATCTTCATGAGCTTCTTTCCTATTCATAACCTGCATGAATAATCAATATCTGTGTACTACATATATGCATACATAGGGACACACATTATTGAATATTTATGCATGAGTGTGTGTATGATGACCAAGAGAGTAAAAGCTTATTCAGGTAATACCCAAAAAACCTCCCTGAAAATAATATAAAGGTAGGGCTCAGCGTGTGAACCACAGTAAGTTGCCTCTATAAATCACATCAATGATGTGTCAGTTGACCAAGACTGCAACTTACAAGATGAGTTCTCTACTTTTCTGTATCACATGCATGCAATATGCCAGGTGAAGCAGAGCCTCAGTTTTCAAGGGCTATCTGCTTGTGGCTCTTCCTGATTCACCAGGCTTTGTTAGATGTCATCATTTCATTGTGCAAGCTGTTGAAAATTGCTTGCCTAAGTACAAAATGCATTAATCTTTCTTAGATCCTTTGTTTCCTAGTCACATACACATTCTGTAGTAGTAATGGAAATGCAATGGTTTAATATTATCAAATATTATAGGAGCCTTGTCACAGAAGAGAACTATCTGAAGCTCTATTTCAGAAATTAAAACGAATGATTTTTGTTGATGCCTCTATTTATTGATTAACTGGCATCTGGAAATCCCTTTTATCTGGTTTTGCAACTCTTCTATGAACCTTGGGGGAGGGTCTTAAGTTAATATGCTGGTTATCTTTGCAATTTATATTGACTCAAGTCCATATTCCCGTAATTTCCTATTTCCTATAATTTAAATCTTAGACTCCCAAACTGGTGCCCTTTGGGTATATTAAGCAAAAAAATGTTGCTCAGACCAATTGGAGGGCACTAAGTGGGGAAAAGCCAATCTTAAATTATGGTCTCTCATATTATCTGAAATAAGATTATTCAATCATTTCTTTGAATTAAATATGCAAAAAAGATCCCTGGGGTTCTTTGAACCATCCAATGACCTGTGATGGAAATATCTGATTTGAAGGGGACATATAAATAAATGCATTTTGGCTTAAAAAAACTCAGAATGCAAGATACAGTAGACAGGCAAAGTATAAAGATAATTTCATATGAACTGCATTTTAAAGTGTCCCACTCATCTGAGCATTCTTAGATTTGGAGTTCCCTGTCATGCATATAATTTTATCCAAAAAATTTAAAGCAGAGCACAAGATTTTTCCCCCCTATACCTGAGAAGTACTATAAAAAGCACTCATCGTTGAATTATCTCTTGACATAAAAACCAAACAAGACTTAAAGAGTATTTTTCCTATGCAGGATATCGATTTGGGTAGGTCTGTGAAATCTCTGATATCATTACTTAGCTTCTGTTCTACTGATTTTGTATAAGAAAAGAGAACTTCTTCCAAGCATATCCTTTTGTTCAACTAGATCAGGGGTGTCAAACTCGCGGCGTCACATTGTTTTATTTATTTATTTATTTATTTATTAAATTTTTATGCTGCCCTTCTCCCGAAGGACTCAGGGCGGTGAACAGCCAGGGTTAAAATACATGCAGTATAAAAACTAAAATAATTTAAAAATAATTAAATCCAATTTGGCTTCCCAATTTTAAAACCCCTTACCCATAAAAATTAATCAATTAAAATTTTAAGCCAGCCCGGCTCGCTGAAACAAGAAAGTCTTCAGAGCCCGGCGGAAAGTACGGAGGTCTGGGATCATTCGTATCCCTGAGGGTAGCTCATTCCAGAGGGTGGGTGCCCCCACAGAGAAGGCTCTCCCCCTGGGGGTCGCCAGTCGACATTGCTTGATCGACGTTACTTTCCCCCCTTTGCTAAACCGGGGTTGGGCGTGGCCAGTGGCCAGTGCGTGGCCAGTGCATGATGCATCCGGCCCACGGGCCACAAGTTTGACACCCCTGAACTAGATCATCACTGGTCATAAGATTTAAAAAACAAAAAAAAATGGATAAAATGAGTAGTTCTTGGAGTGAAGAGAATGTTATGGCAACATAAATAATTGAAGTCAATCTTTCCCCTAACATTTATAAACTTCATTCTATACATAGAGGAGTGTATATACCATAGGGAAAAATGTTAAAGCATAGAAATACTAATCCTTTCTTTTTATCCCAGGATAAGAAAACCACACTATTAATACACTTAAATTATTCTTAGTAAAATTATGTCAGTTACAGCTGAGGAACTTTAGGAGAGTCTTGAAATTTTTCTTATAAATAGCCCATGTCATGATATAACCCTGACCTTTGTCAACCTCTCATCTTGAAACTGTATGAAAACTACTTTATTAAGATTTGAGAAACTCAAATTATTCTTTTTGAAGAGAAAAAAAAACCCCAAATTCTACCTTGGGAGATAATAACTTTACTTCATTGTGTATAAGCGTTTCTTTCCCATGTACAGTGGTACTTTGGTATTCATCATTAATTGGTTCCAGGAAGCACAACAAAAACTTAAAATGACAAGTCCCCAAAAAACCATGTGACTTATCACATGATCCTTTGATTCAGCCTAAAAGAACTTCCCAGAACTGCTGACTTCCTGTCCACCCTATGTGGCCATCTCCCTCTTCATTTTGCAGCAACTTTCTTGGCATGGCCAACTTCCTGTCCATTCTCCATGGCTGTCCCCCTTTTCCATCACAGCACATTAGGTACCAAACAAACAACAAATATACTGGGACAACATTTTTGACTCAAAATGCATTGAGTACCAAATTTGATGAGTTTTGAAGCAGTCAAGTACCAAGGTACCACTGTATATAAGATTTTGGTCATTTGGAATTTCTTCTTTTATAGTGAGATGAACTTAAAGTCAAAAACGATATCATTGTTTGCGATTAAAAATAAACATAATAGTCAACAGTTAAAACGGTGGTAATAGGCTCATAGTTTCATTACCAAATGCTCACCTGACTGTCAGAATAGCATTTCTAGAAAGAACATCAGCCCCAGAAATGGCCAGTTAATGTTAACCTGGTTTAGAGTTGTTTTAAAGCTTACTGAAGTTTTAGAATCAGTGCACCATTATCAGAACACATTTTTCCAATGTATTTTAAGATCATCCTTTGTTCCATGTATTTGACTTATGCTAAACCACTCTATAGTAACACAAAGAAGTTATTTACATTGGTGCTTTGCTGTTTGAGTAGAACATTCGTTTTTCTTTTGTCTTTAATGCCCACTCACTGAATTAAGACCGAATTCGTGCTGTCCAAGCTGGAACTACATGTTGTATTACAATGCACACATTAAAGAGATACCCCATAGGGAATTGTTCAACATTAGAAACGTTCCTATTCCCCAACATGGCTAAAGGAACTAGATATAGCTTGTCAGTCCAAAGCAAGAAAACCGCATGTTAGACATGGCTACTGCATTTCACAAACTGCAGGAAAGGTGAGCATAACTAATTCTTTGTTTGCCCTGTTTTTTTTAATGGAAAATTCAATGAAGATCTCTAAAAAGTCCATTAATTAAAAACAGTGAAGTAATAAGCTGTTCACCTAGCTGAAATAATAATATTCTAATCATTGCATGGGTTGGTTGGACAATTTCTCTTATCGTTCCTTATAGCTTGATTTCAGTAGTTGCACTCTAGATGATTCCAGTGGTGTCGTCTGACGTGATGTGGTGAATGTGCTTCTTGGTTTGTTTTGTCAGTGACGATCATAAGCAGCAGCAGCTGCTGGGGGCGCGGCTCCACGGGCTGCAGCACTGTAATAGTAAGGAGAACCTACAAGGAAAGATAGCATTGTGTAAACATGTTACATGTGTAATTTCTATCAAGCAAATGAAATTGTTTGAAAACAGAAACAGAAAAGGTGATCTGAAACCTTCACTGGGTCTTATGCAGACCCTTAAAATGAGATAGTAAATTTAACAAGTCTTACACAGTAGAGGGACATCTTAGTTGCATCATACCAGATTACTATAGAGAACCCATGCAACTATTTTTTTTTTATGACCCTATATTCCCTATTCGGCGTAAAGTGACCAGATGGAACTGAGCATTTATTGGTCAGATGCCCTTCCTGACACCTATGAGAAGTTCACAGCAGATATTTTTTCTTTGTGCCCTAGTTGAGAAACATTTGCTACTACCTAAGATTGAAGTCTCAGCCTTCCGAGTGGGAGGCAAGCATCTACTCCATGTCGGTTTTAAACCCATGCAACTAAAATTATGAGGCAGTAATGTCTCCTTCTTCAAACCATACACATTTAGAAATATTTTTTTGATTTACTTACATATCCAGATAGGATGTCTCAATTTCAAAGATACTTTAATTACCCAACAGAATAAAGACAAACTTAGACCAGTATTTTAAATCATTTCCCTTTGGTATTGTCTAAATCAGTGGTTCTCAACAAGTTCACCTTGTTTTTTTGGGCAACCAGAGGCTAACTATGAGATTATAGCTGATGGATAAATTAACTACATTTCCTGTAAGAATGTCTTATAAAAGGGGATGAGAAATGGAGATCTACAAAGCCTTCCAAACCCCAAGGAATTCCTTAATATTCATGTTCCATTTGCTCCATTGGAGACTCTGCCCCTCTTCTAGTCATTCCATGGAAGTGTGCTCACCAACTGGGAAGTGGCATATCATGGTAAGTAAACTTGAATGAATTTGGGAAAGAATGGAATCCCTTGACTGACATGACTTGGTCATGACCAAGAATAGCAAATTGGAGGAGTCCAGTACAGTAGCTTGGAAAGACCCATGGATACAGCATGTTCTCCAACTCTAGTTGCTGCCATACGGCCTTATAGATTCTATGGTGATGGAAAGATCGCAATGCCTTATGTTAAGGCATTAAATTTTGTTACTTGGTCTACTGATAAAATTGTAGATTTTCAAGACTGAAGAATTGAATGTAATGTATGGAAAGGTATGGGCTACAAAAAATACTGGTTAACATATATGTGCACAGAGTACCAGGTCTAAGATATTGGAATAGAAGAATTGGAAAATATTGGTAATGGTCAGGTAAGATGTCCCAAAGGTGCTTTTCAAAAGGCAATTGAACTTTCTCATTTTTTTCCCTTTGAAAATGCTTCGCTTCTCATCTGAGAAGCTTCTTCAGGTCCATCAGATGCTAAAATGACCATTTGAAAATGTTATAGTGTATCAAATTCCTAAAATCCACCGTAAATTATCTGAGTGTGCTGTGATATTTGCAAACTCTCATCTCTTATTCGGATGAAGTAAAATGTATTGTTTCTTTAGATAACACAATCCCAAATTATATGATTTCCTTCTTCTGTATACAGCCCTTTCATCAGTAAATCCAGTAAATCAATTTTCAGCCCAAAAAAAAGTCCAAAAAGAGTTCCCAGGTTTCTTTATAAAAATACTTATTGCTCTTTCCCTATTCAAACAAGCCAATTTAGCCATTTCTGTAAATTCTATCTTTTTCATGATCCACTCTTCCATTATGGGTATTTTGCATGTGTCAAAATGGCTATTTTGCTAATGTTGGCATGTAAAAAAAGAAAATCCAAGGCTAAAATTCTCAAAACCAATTCTCGAATACAGCTCGTTTGCCTGGAATCCACACTGTATATCAGACATTAATACAATTGAGCGGGTCCAGAGATATTTCATGAAAAGAGTACTCCAGTCCTCTACTCACAATAGAATCCCTTATGCCACCATGCTTGAAATTTTGGGCTTGGACAATCTTGAACTGCTGTGCCTGCAGTCTGATCTAAGCATAGTACACAAAATTGTCTGCTACAACGTCTTACCTATCAACGACTTCTTCAGCTTCAACCAAAATAATACATGGGCAAACAATTGATACAAACTCAACTGCTCCAGACTCAATTGCAGAAAATATGACTTCAGCAACAGAGTAGTCAATGTCTGGAATGCTCTACCCAACTCCGTTGTTACATCCTCAAACCCTCACAGCTTCAACCTTCAACTGTCTACCATGGACCTCACCGCATTCCTAAGAGGTCCTTAAAGGGGGCGTGCATAAGCACACCAGCATGCCTACCGTCCCTGTCCTACTGTCCCCATTTATTTGTATTCATTTCCTTCGTTCATGTCCATGTCTATAGAACTGGTAGTAAAACTGGCGGGAGGCTCCACCCACTGACCCTGATGTCATCAGAAGTCATCTGCGCAAGTGCAATCCCTTTGCGAACCGGTAGTAAAGGTAAGTAGAACCCACCCCTGGCACAGAAACTAGCTATAAAACAACTAATTGATGAGACACAGCAGGACAGAACTTAGGAGCCAGGAAAGAAGAATTAAGATGTTTCTGTTTATGAAAATAGTATCTGAGGAAGTTTTAGTAGAACCCTTATATTCCTTTTTCCACATACTATGAGATTTTACTGTGAGATAAAATTCAAACATAACATCTCCTTGTCAAATTGCAGCTTTACCTAGGTTGTACCTCTTTGAACTACAAACTGTTTTTCGGGAACAGATAATCCACACCCAAGATAGATCATACAGTGTATTAAATTCTTTAAAAAAAAAAACCCACTCAAACTCTTTCAAAGCCTTGTTTTCACATAAAATTGTATACACCTTCCCCATGCTGGAAAAGTAATGAAATTCCTAACAGCAAAACCATTCCTGTCATAGAAAACGCTGCTGACAGCATTAAAGGAGAAGAAACAGGGAGAAATCAATAGAGTAGTGACAGATATCATGAAGAAGTCACAAAGTTCAAGACATGTGTAAGGGGCCAATATTTCAAACAGATGAGCATGTGAAAATAGACTAGCAGTATTGCACAATATTGATGAAAAAGGTTTTCTACATCCTGTTTCAAGAGAGCCAACTGGTATTTTGGGAAGATGGAGGAGGAAGGGGGAAGGGGATAGCTTGGCTTTCCTTAGATGTCTTTCTTGGTACAACAAGGGCAAGGAGCGAATTCTGTAATAAACGGATCTTAACTCATATTTTGAGGCTTGTTTAGATGAGCTGTAATCTTAGCAACCAATACAATAACAGCCTTAACCAAGTGCTTCCCAGATGAGTTGAATTGCAGCCCCTGTAATTGGCTTATGCTGAATGAGGGATTATGAAAGATGGTTTAAGATAACGTTGGGATAGGGAGCCATACGGCAATAGAATAACCTTGCTATTGTTGCTGCAGGGCGAGCAACACGGTTCCTATAGCAACTTAAATTTAAAAATGCATTGTAAGTTTTTATTACTAATGCTCTCTAATTTCATCCATTTAACAATTGCATTGAGATTGGTTGCTTATTCTTAGCACATGTGCATATATAAAAGAGTTAGTGTGGTAAAGGGGATTAACATGTTGGACTAGGAGAAAGAAGACCAAATTTTAGTCCTCCCTTAGAACCTGACTGAGTGAGCCGGTCATTCTCTTCTGGCCCTAGACTGGGAAGTTGGAAAAAAACATGAAAGTGAAAACCAGGTCATGGTTAGCAGGTCATGGATGACTGAGAATCTCTACAGACTTTTAACTATACAATTTGGGATGAACACCCTTTGAATGGTGTGGGAGTAGGAATGGATTTCCAGAGGAAAAATGGTAGACTACAGGAACCAGGAGCACCCTGAGGACAAAGATAAATCTCCTAGTGCTTCAAGGACCCTCTAAAAGGATGCAAATGACCAGCTGTCTGCAAGGAATATAAATCTTTCCATTCCCCACTATCCTGTCAGACCTGAAGAAGCTTCTTGCATGATAAGCAAAACGTCTTCCAAAGAAAAAACAAGAAAATCCAGTTGCCTCTTGAAAAAGCACCTTTGGGACAACCATGACCTGGATGACTGAGAATCTCTGCAGACTTATTGCATTTATTCTTAAGTCAGCAAAAAACAATAGTGCAATAGTGTTTCTGCTGCTGATCTTTACTGCATTTGTTTCCAATCCATTCCTTCAATGGACAGTAAACAACAGCCTTTGCACTACTCCAGACTGCTCTGGAAGATTGTTTGAATAACAGGGAAAACATTATCTTAGCACCTGTATAGTTAAGGATGACTTAAACCTATGCCACTGATACCTGGAAAGAAGAAAAAGGCAATGTCCATGAGGACAAGGGAGAAAAAAGATATTTGTGCTGTAATTAGATACAAGTAGGAAAACCCTCAGATTACCTACTGCAATGTATTGGGTGCTATTGCTGCTGCTGCCACTATCTAACTACTATTTCAAAATGGGTGTATCCCCAAATTGTACTGACTGCAAGAAAAAAGAAAGCAAGATTGTTTTTAAAAATGAGCATTTGCCAAATGACATTATTAAATTTACAGAGTCCATGGTGATCTTCTATCAACTACTAAGGAGAGGTCATTGTGGACATGGAAGAATTGCTTCTGAATTCCAGAACTGCAAAGAATCCTACTCTGCACGCAGAGTGGGGAAATCAAATTTACTAATTAATGATCCACATATGTAACTCCCAACTGTTTTTCTGTGTATGCATGCAGGCCTTTGTGTTTGCTTTTGATTCCTGGCAACTGCCTGGACAAGTTTTCTTGGCAAGGTTTTTAAGAAGTAGCTTGCCATTGCCTCCTTTCTAGGGCTGAGAGAGAGTGACTGGTCTCACGCTGGCTTTGTGCCTAAGGCAAGATTAGAACTCAGGACCAGAACGGATGCCTTAACCACTGCACCAAACTGGCTCTCAACTTTTGTGAGGGCAACAACAAAAGCCTGGTGCTATGCAACTGCAGGGAAATCTGTGCATTCCCTGTGGTATGCAATTTTCCAATGCACTGTCCATCATGTATTGAG